CCCCCGCCAGGGTGGGCTCCGAGCCCCCCGCGCGTCCACAGCGGCCGCGCCCCGCCCGCCCGTCCCCATTGCGCAGATGGGGAAACTGAGGCACGGGGCGGCCGGCGCCTCCCGGCCGGGCAGTGAATCGGCTGGAAATACGGGGCTCCTGACGCACGATCCGCCTCTCGGCGGCGCCGCCCCTCCCGAGCCGCTCCGAGTCCTCGCGGCAGGCGCGCGCCGGCGGGGGACGCAGGACTGGGACGGCCGGCCAGGAGCCGCAGGCCGCTTGGGGAGCCACCCCCCAGGCTGCGTACCATCCCCCGGGGACGCCCATCACAGCCGGGTGGCCGGCTCACGAGGCGTCAGGGGCTGGCTAAGGCCGACGCCTGCCTGGCAGCCCCACGTGGGGTGAACATCATAAGCCCCTAGGCGGTCCTCCCAGGAGACACATCCAGAGCTGTGGCAGAGCCCAGCTGGGCCTTCGCTGCGATGCCAGGCCTCCCTCCCGACCAGTGTGCCAGGTTAGGGCGCCTGCAAGGCCCCTTTGTCCAGGACAGGACCACTCTGAGTGCCCCTCAGGCCCTCAGGGAGTGCCCCCAACCCCACAGTTAGCGCTGCCAACTCCTGGTCCTGTCACCTCTCCCCTCTGGGGCTTCATTTCTGCATTTCCGAGGTGAGCCCAAGTAGCCCCACCTGACACAATGGTCAGGAGCTGAGATGCCACCAGGAGGCAGCAGCCAGCACGGGGCCCAGGTGCAGGCGCGTCCTGCCCAGGAGCCCTGTCACTGGTGTGGTCACAGCAGTCACCCTGTGTGGGACGCTGGGCCTGCCTACCTGGGCAGTTTCTGCCCTGGAACCTGAGGCCAGGCCTGGCCACCTAAGTGTGCGTGCGTGTGTGTGTGTGTGTGTGTGTGTGTGTGTGTGTATGTGCATGTGTGTGTGTGTGTGCGCGCGCGCACATGTAAAACATTCCCAGACACAGAGCATCTGGGGCTTTCTAAGGGACTTACCTAGAGACGGGGGGCTGTGTCATCCCCTGGACACTGGGAGCTGCTGCTTTTCCAGGTGGTGGGGGCCACCCATGACTCCTTTGTGCCACCTGCCCTTTGTGGGTCTGCAAGTCAGAGACACGGTGTGGGTTAGCACACAGCCTCGGTCACCCTGACTTCCAGGGAGGTGAAGGGGGCCAGGGCCAGGCTTGATACTGCTGTGGGACCTCAGCTTGCCCGTGGCCTAGAGACCCTCAACCCCATGATGGCCTCAGCCAGATGGGCCTTTCTGATCTGAGGCTCGCATCCTCAGCCTGCGGATACACAGGAGTTTCCCATCTGCCAAACGGGGCTATTACCTCGTGCCCCGGGCCCCGGACACTGAGGCTGGAAAAGCTGCTGCGTGTAAAGCCCAAAGTCCCTCTGCAGAGCCTGGGGGGTGGGCCTGCGGTTCATGGGAGAAGGGGGGGACCTTGCAGAGCCAGTAGCTGTGGGGGCATCCGGCCAGGCCTATTTGGGGTGCCCTGGAGCTGCAGGAAGGGAGGGGACCCAGGTGCCTAGACAGAAGCCCCCAGAACGAAACCTCCCCTTCCTGCCACTCTTCAGTCTCTGCCTTGGCCCAGGGGCCTCAGAAGCCCTAGGCAGATGCCCTCAGGCAGGTGGACAGCTGCTGCCTGTAACTGTGGGGGGGGGCTCCTGCCACTGGGGACCTCAGTGGCCCCTACACCCAAGCAGGCAGCCCTCACTCAGCCCCAGGCAGTGAAGAGTTAAGAGCTGAGCCTGGGGGACTTGGAGGGAGAGCTTCTCTGCCTGTCCCCTGCCCCCATCCTGTCCCTGAAGCTGTGGTCACTTGACCCTGTGACCAGCCTGTGGCCTCCTGACTGAGCAGAAAGAGGCGGCTCGGGTTGCTGGGTCAGCTGGTCCTCACCTGCTGCTTCCATATCTGGAAAATGGGCCTTCCGCTCGGACTGCTGGTGTGGCGGGAAGACAATGGGGATTCAGGCCCTTTGAGCAGGGACTTGGGCCACTCTGGGAGGTGGGCAGAGAGCGTGCTCCCCAGGGTCTGAGGTGGGCTGATGAGCCCTCACTGCACCACACCAAGCCAGTCCAGCCAGGTGGGGGGCTCCTCCTGTCCTGGCATTCATGCTCCCCCGGCATTCATGCTCACCCCGACTCAGAGTTGGCTTTGGGCTCCTCCCCCTGGGGCCGGTCACTCCGGTGGTGGCCCTCCATCACCCCCCTTCAGAGTGCCCCTCCGCCTGGTGGATGCCCTTGGGACAGCTGGGTCTCAGGAGGGGTGAGCTGGTCCCAGGAGCCTCTCCAGGGAAGAGAGCGGGGCCAGAGCGTCGCTTGCTGCGGGGAGGATGTGGCAGAGTCCGGCTCCTTCCAGGGATCCCAGTGGCTGCTGGGCCACCCAGGGCAGGCCAGACTCAGTCCAGACTGGGCCACCCATCAGCAGGCACCCCCAGCCGAGGGACCTTCGTGTCCCACACAGTGGGGATGGCACCAGCAGGAAGGGACATGAGATGGCGGCAGGAGAGCAGCGTGCAGAGCCGGCCCAGGTGCATGCCCAGCCAACAGGTGCTGCGGTCAGTGGGTCAGTGGGGGCCAGGGCATGCTCACCCTTTCTGCCAGCTCCCTGCCCCTCCCAGGCCACCCCTGCCATACCTGATGCTGCCCAGGCCTGGGTTTGGCCATGGCCAGCACTGCTGCCTCCCCGGCCAGGAGTGGACCCTGCCCTGGGCTGGCCACCCCAGGCACCTCCCGAGGCCACCCGCCTGGCCTGTCTGCTGGAGCCTCCATCTCGACCATTCGTGACAGCCTCTCGGGGCAGGGAGCCTCCTCCCGGGGCGAGGAAGGGCGGCTTTTTATGCTCCATCCCGAGTAAATCGGGACTGGGATGGGCCCTTCCCGACCGGACTTCCTGTGTGTGTTCTCCACTGATAACGGGGATCTGTCAGCGAACAAACAGGAGGCCCAGGGCAGTGGGGGGCCTTCCAGGGAGGGGCCTGGCTGAGCTGCCGGCAGTGGTGGGGAGCTGCCCCCTGGGACCTGAGAGTCTAACCCTGAAGCAGCCGGAGACCCGGCTCAGGCCCAGCCGGTGACCCTGGGTCCTGGCTGGTTCCAGTGGGGTGGTGGACATGGCTGGGCCCAAGGCCTCCCCAGTGCCGTGGGGCCACCAGGCCGTGTTAGTGATCCACAGAAGGGACTGTTCATTCTGTGCCCCTGGGCCCTCCCCCAGGGCTCTGCCACAGCCTGAGAGCCTGCAGGGGCCTGGCCCAGTCGGCCCCCAGAAGAGACCTGGGAATGGGCAAGGTAGGCTGGGTGGCCGACAACAGCCCGTTCCGTGGGTCCCTGGGGCCCAGTGTAGCTGGGGGGGCCCCGGGAGGGTAGCCTCCCGCTCAGTTGCAGGCATCCTCTAGGAGGCAGACATGCAGGAATGCTGGTGGCCTTTAGGTGGCCGAAACAGGTCCTCCCTCAGGTTGGCCAGCACCCCAGCCCCAGCCCCAGGGCCCCTCAGGCTCCTCGGGAGGCCCCCAAGCATCAGTCCCTGTGATGGTGGGTAGGTGCCCAGGGCAGCTGGGCAGCTGCTGAGGACACACCCAGACCACACATGTGCCAAGGGCCCTGCGGGAGCGAGGCCATGCTGCACCAGCCCCACGGTCCTCGGGATGTGAGCCCCGCTCCGGGTCATCCCCAGCTGCCCACAGCCTGGGACACCCTCATGTCTCTAGCCCTGAGCACCCACAGCCCTTCCCTCCTTCTGGCCCCACCTGCTTGGGTGTCCTGGCCCGGAGAGAAGCCAGGCAGCTTGGGAAATTCCCCACCCGAATGCTGCGCACAGGAGAGCGGCCTCGCCCACCGGCTGGTCGGTCTTGGTGTTCACAGGATCCAGCTCTCTCCCCACCCCAGGGCCAGGGCAGGTTCTGCCTGAGCACAGCCCAGGGGCTTCGCTTCTCTGGGTCTCAGTGCCCCGTTTATTCCATGGGGACAAGAGAGGTGCCAGCCACCAACGTTGTGACAGTCGAAGCTCCTGCCCTCAAGCATGATTAGTGGGGCCTGCGGGGCCCTCCTTCTGGAAGAGCCCCTGCCCCATGGCTAGAGCTGGCAGGCGGAGCCCCCCAACTCCCCATCCTTCCCCACCAGCCCACAGTGGCCCTGCGCTCAGCCTGCTCACAGTCCCTGCGGGGCCCCACGGCCCAGAAAGGCGGGGTGCTCTGGTGAGTGTGCTCACTACAGTGTGGGGGCCAAGCTGGGCTTTGCCCCCATCACCCAGACCCCAGGCCCAGGGCCCGGCTCCACGCCCCCGGGTGGAAGAACCAGCAGACTTCAGGGCTGGCTGTGTGCGGACAGAGGGGCTCTAAGGCCCAGCAGTGGGAAGAGACTCGCTCCCCCCCGGGTGCGGTGGGGCAGACAGGCGGGAGGACCAGGACGGGAGCAGCCCCTTCCTCCCTTCCTGTCTGTTCTCAGTGAGCCCCAGTTCCTCCTCATGCCTCCTCATTGGGCTGCACCCCAGTCGTCAGACTGTCACCCCTGCCAGGGGCTGGGATGAGGTTGGGAGCAGCTGATTAGTGGGCTATGTGAATGGGTTAACAGGCTGCCCCACCCCCACCCCGCCCCAGCACGGGCATGTTAGGGAATGCTCTGGAAAGATTCCCAGAGGTGGGTCACAGGCTGAGAGAGGAGACAGCTGAGCCCCGGGTCCTCCAGTGCCAGTCTTCTCAGTGTCAGCTCCTGGGTGCCAGCCAGGGTGGACCCTGGCCCATCTGATGCCTGCTAGATGTGCGGGTCTCCCACTGCCCCATGATCCCTTCCTAACAAGCTCTGCCCTGCCCCAGCCCCTCACTGAGTGGAGATCTGAACCAATCCAAAGAAAGGAGCCTTGGTAGAGGGCCCCAAGGGACCGGCCTTGCCCTGACCCATATCCGAGTCCTTACTGACTCCTCTATGCTCCCATCCCCAGAGCCTGCGGCAGGTGCGGGAGGTGGGGGGTCCCGCCCTAACCCAGGGCATGTCACGGACAGGGAGGCTGCCCAGGAGTGGGGTGAAGGACAAAGGTGGGTGCTCACACCCTTTTGGATTCCAGGAGGTCCCACGGGCCTTGAGAGGGTTGAGGCACACTTACTGCCCCATGGGTCTGCCCCAGGGGAGTGCTGAGGCAGGTGGAGCTCACCCTATGCCCCAGGCTGGAGGGGCTCAACACAGGCAGAGTCCAGATATCCCCCACGGCTACTCTCTGCCCGGCAGCCTCTCCTGCTCCCTCCAATTGCTCCTGTTCAGAGTCCTGGAACATACCACCTGCCTGCAGAGACTCAGTTTTGGAAGGAGCCAGCTGTGCCTCTGACCTAGGCCTGCATCCCCTGAGGACAGGGCATGCCCTGGCTGTCCGGGCTGTCCACACTGGGTGTCCACTCAGAGCCCTGGGACAGGTGCCTGGCCAGCTTTGGGCATGGGGTCCAAGGTTCTGGTTGGGGTCAAGAAGCTGGTCCCAGCTTTGCTTCCTACTTCAGAAGGCTGTGCCCACGCTGGCCTCAGGTTCCCCATCTGCCCCGTGGTCAGTAGGGCTGCCTCCTGGCCTGCCTGTGAACATTCTGAAGTTGATTGGAAAGGGATCTCGCTGCCTTACCTTCCCAGGTCAGGCTGGTCAGGTGGTGGGGTGTGGCAGAGGTCAGCCACGGCCTCTGGGGTCCTCCTGGGACCCCTCACCGCTGCGTTTTTGGCCTCTGCAGCCCCAGGAGAGGGTAGACCAAGCCCCAGCAGAGGCCAGTGTGGGCATCTCAGGCGGCGCGACGCAGAGGGCACCAGGCATGGCGTGTGAGCAGGGCTGCAGGCAGGAAAGAACGGAGCACAGAGCAGGGGAGAGATGGGTTTCCTGTTTACCCCTGGAGCAGCCAGCTGGACTCAGGATAGGATGGCTCTGTCCACTACAGCTTCACACTAGATGTGCTGAACCTCCATGGGATGCCCTGGCCCAGTGACCAGGGAAATGGTGCCCCTGGGCTAGGTGAGCAGTCCACACCTGTGTTGGGCCATATCCCCAAGGCAGCAAGAGGTCTGGCAGGGAGAAGGGGATGTGTCCAGTTAGTGTGGGGCTTTAGCTGTCAGCCACTGCCCACCGCCCCCACCGCCCAGTGACTTCTGCCTCACATGTTTGTTAGAAGGGCCCTGTGTTGGACGCCACACACACTGCTCATGAAATGCCCATGATTGACTTTTCCATTCTCAGATGGCCCAGCCAAGGCTCGTGGGGGAAGGAGTCCACCAGGATTGGCCGGTGGGAAATGGGAGCCCTGGGTGTGGAGGCCAGGGCCTGGGCACCGGAGACCCTTGGGGTCCCTTGGCTCCTTCTCCTCACTGGCCCCTGGCCCTGCTTCCCGGACTACCATGCAGCCATGACCACCTTTCTGCTGTGCATCCACTGAAGCTCAGCAGAGGCCCAGGACACCGACATCCCCCATCCTTGACTCCCGGCAGGTCCCCATAGGCTCTGCCTCCAGAGCACGTCCCTTCTGCCACTGCCCCTTCCTGGTCCAGGCTGCTGTGTTTCCTGCCGGATGACCTCCTCCTTGGCTTGCTGGGCCCCCCTGCCCGGCCCCCCACCTGTTCTCAGGGAGCTTTGTGAAGGGCGACATCAGACCATGTGATCTTGCCCCCGCAGCCTGACACCCCCACCCGCGGCATGAGCTCCACAGTGGTGGTCAGGGTCTTGTCGGTCTCGCTCACTCCTGAACAGAGCTGGCCCCTAGCAGGTGTGCAAAGGGTGGCCCCCAGCCCAACAAAAATACATACAGCAGCGAGAGCTTTGTAGAGAGCTGTGCATGGTCACCCGGTGAGCGTGCCTGTGGAATGGCGCTCTGGCAGGGAGGCAGGGCCCGCTGCCTCTCCCCAGGAGCCGCGGCCCCGACTCTCCCAGAAAAGAACGGCTCTGCCTGCCGGCCTCTCCCGGCCTCTCCCACCCCACGGTAGGGCCGTCCTGGAGGAATAACTGGTCCCGGGAGTGGCACGAGAAGGGAGACGACCCCCCACCAGCAGCACAGGGCTGCCGGCTGCCCTGACTCTCTCTCAAATGCGATGGCCTGGTATTTAAGGCATTCTGATCACTTTTCAGTAGCTTTGCTGTTTTACTATTTCTTTAGTGTAGGCAGATGAAGAAAATCTTGTTTGTTTTTAAACAATAGATTTCCTCCTTGGGGAAAGACTCATTTTATCAGGGCCCCCAAGGTCCTGAGCCCCATGGCCCAGTTTCGTCTCAGCGTCTCGCCTGACGACGATCTAGGCTCCTGCGGGCCGTGGATGTCACCCCCGCCCCCTGGGAGCGCCCGCCTGACACGCTGGACTGGGCCCCTCTCACAGTCGGGCTGCAATTTGCCCAGCATGGCGGATGGGGCAGTCGTTCACCTGGAGGGAAAAAACACTTTATCTCCCAGTGGGACAGGGAAGTTCCCGCGAAGGGGAGCAGGTTAATGGAGGTGGGCAGTGGTCCAGCCATCCTGTCCCTTCCCCTCCTGCCCGCTGAGTGAGAGCTGGGAGCTGGCTGCCTGAGGCCTGTGGGAGAAGGGGCTGACACCAGACAGGCAGCAGTGGCCCCGCGGGCGCTGTGTGCACGTGTGGCTCCCTGCTGGTCCCCACCAGCCCTCAAGGCTGACACCTCCATGTGACCCATGTATGGAGCAGGACTGACTTCTCAGGGTCACAGACTGTCACTGGAGAGCCTGACCTCGGACCCAGAGCCGCAGCACTGCCTCCTGTCTGGGGGGCAGTGGGCAGGGGCACAGATGAGCTGGTTCCCCATCCCCAGGCAGCACCTGTTGTGACTGCCCATCCATCATCCCAGGGGTCAGTGGAGGCCAGATG